TCTGACGTGTGGGAAGTGTCATAACTATCACCAGCTAACATAAGAATTGGTTTAAAGCCCTGCAATTGATCTGATGCTTGCTACATGGATGGAGAATACTTTTTGTAAAGTCTTGATTAAGGGAATCTCTATCATATTATGGAAACTCTATATATCAATGGAAAATTGACTTCTGATGAGAATCGAAATCACAATTTCACAAAAGAGAGGATTAAAGACTTGTTATCTCTTGCTTAAGCACACGACCACAAAGACCTTACTCTCGTACTTGCATATTCACCTACATAAAGCTTGATTCCTTAGATTTCACTGTTTTCAGATACTACAACCCTGACAGAGTCTAAAATGAACACGATTGCAGTGTTAAAACTTCAAAACCTCCAAGAGCAGAGGTCAACCGCCTAAATCTTTGATTCAAATCATCAAAGCAATATTCAAAGTTAGCCAATCTAGTTCCAAACCCTATTCCTTTAAAAAAAACCTTTAAAACAAAGCACTTAAAAGAGATTGTACCAGAAAGTCAGTCAGTCAACTAAACTTCCATATAAAATCTCTTATAACAAGATTAGAGAGTAAAAATTGCATTAACAGAGATGAGAAAGAAGTGCTTCATTTCAAAGAAAAAGTCTTAATAGTTATCCAAAAGCGGAAAAAAAGTTTTTCGTGTCGTTTCACTTTAAAGTGAATTTTTCATTACACAAAAAATAGCAGCAGAGATTGTTGCTAAGCTCGATGCTACTACTACTGCTGTTATCATGACTATAATATCAAGTTAATTAAATATTATGAAAAGAAAAGAAGAGGATCTTAAAGCTCTACGATTTTTATGGCAAATTAAGCCTTCCCAGTCCCTCACATTCTTTATTCTCGTTGTCATGAAAAAATATAAAAAAAAAATCTAGGGATGAAAAAGTTTTTCATTTTCCTCGACTTTTGTGTGCTGAGGAGCACTTGTTGCATTGTTGGTGTCATCATAGAATAAAAACCGCACATACAATGTACAGCATCGTCACCAAAGAGGCCAGTGGATGGAAATAAAGTCATGAAAAAATTTTCATTGCGGTTTGATGAGGAAACGCACAGCATGACGTGGAAAAAAAATCAATTCATGCTGTTTCTTAATGGCTTGTGCTTTAGAAAAGCATCATTTTTATGTCATGCTGTGATAGTCACACAATTGTTATGAAGGAGTTAAATATCATCGTCATTAATGATTGTTGTGTAGGTTGTTGACAGCTGTTGAGGATGAGTGAGTCAATGGACTTTAGTGTTGCGTCTTAATTCTCTATTGTTGCTGTTAAAGGTCATTCATTTAAGATGACATTTGGGGATCAGAGAAATTTGTGATTTATGAGTAGGAGAGGCACTGTAGCTTGATAATCCAACAATTTAAACACTCTCATCCGCAATATTCACCAGAATTTAAATCTTTAAACCTCTTTAAGGAACAAATTAAATGAAATTATGCTTGAGTGATTTATTCCTTCTTTTTTTATGTGAAACAACTTTTTAATCAATCTGTCGCTTATTAAATTTAATTACAAGAAGAGATTTTAATTTAATCCTGATGTCATGACACTTTGAAGATTTGCGTTTAAATTAAAATTATTCAGTGTGGTAGAAACGAAAGAATGAGAAGGATTCGGAGAAAGAGAAACGGAAAGACTTTGAACTTTTTTTTTTATTCTTGTGACGAGAATGGAATTTTCTTATTAATGAGTCAGGAAGAGAGGAATGGAGAAATGAAGAACTTTAAGGATGGCTTGGTCAGAAGTTTTTCAAATGTTTCTTTGGCATGCTTTTAGTCACTTTGGAGGAGGTCTTGTGGATTATGGATGAAAATAAGGTTTCTTAAAATGTTGTGAAATTGTCTGGCTAAGTTTGAAGATTCTTGAGTTTAGTTGATTCTCTAGATTTGATTCCCACTCTGATTCCTGCTTAATTATCCATACTTGACCTCTTTACATTTGTTTAATATTCAATAGATTCATCTGCATTATTCCTTGACGTCATTAACCAGTTTTGACAATTTCGAACTCACTTGAGCTCCAAGTTGATCAAAGCTGCACACTGGCTATTCACCGAATCATTTATCTGCCAACGCAATGCTCCTAATGACTAAACATACTTCAAGCACTCTAAATCTCTCGACTCAAACTGATAAGTCGTAAATAATTTTCCTGCCATTAATTTCAAATCAGTTTTTAATTGAGTTTTGCTAATCCACTTGTCTGTCCCACTGTCAGCTCCTTTACAATTTTGCTAAGCCTAATGTCGACTTGCTATCCTAATGTTGAGATTTCAGCCTACCATAAAAAAATACTTTTTTTAGACATAATCTCAAATTAACTTTGTAATCCTGCAGAAAAGCTCAATTTTTTCTCCATCTCATCTCGATCAATTTCATTTCATTTGTTGTTTCTCATTTACCCAAGTAATGATGACAAACGTATAGGCACGTAGGAAAGGAGGAACAAACAAAAAATATCATACGATGAATTTTTGAAACGTAAAATGATTTTTTAATGTGAATTTGATGCCTCAAGTTTTGTCAAATTACTGACAATATTTTATTTTTTTTTTGGGTTGATGAGAAAAAGGAACCGATTTTTTTATATCATCGTCATTTTCAGTCATGGTCAACTTTATGGCCTTTTTTTAGGAATGGAAAGTATTTTAAGCTTCGTCATTTAATTGTGATTAGATTGCGAGAGAAAATTGACAAATTTAGAATGGATAGTGTGACTTGATGGACTTGATGGGCACGAAAATAAGAAACTAAGTGCGATTTGAGTTCCCATTTTGATCAAAAGTTCTGATTAATATTTTCTATTTCACCAGAAGCTTAAATGAGGCAAGCTCAATAACTTCATTCCAAAAAAAAAAATCCAGCTAGTATTTCAAATCTGTCAGCAAATAAACCATGCACACAATAGAATTACAAAGAAATTGAAGTACGAGAGAACAAGAATCAAATTGCTTTTAAAGCTTCGAATAATAAATTTTTCTACATGCAACCTTGCTGTAAGAAATCCAAGAGCTTTATCATCAACGAGGAAGGTGAAATTGAGCATTTCTAGCAACATTTATTTTTCAATCTGCTTACTCGCAATTTTTGTGAACTGAAAAAGGAGAAGAAAACCCTCCCATCCCGCATGTCAAGCATTCCAAACATATCTGAGTGTAATATGCCGAGAGACACATAAGCACACATAAGAAAAAATCCCTTGAACAATGATTCAGTTGAAATTGAATGTTAACGAACGATAAAACACAAAATTGACATTTTTTTTATATATAAAATGAAAATCATTTCTCATTTCACGGGATGTTCATTCGACAATTTTTCCTTCATCATTTATCTGTACATGCAACAATGAATCAACAGTTCAAGAGCGATTACCTTAAATTCTGACTTTCCATTCTCTAATACTCCTCTGTTTGTGCTTACTCGCTCTTTCTCTCTCTTTTCAATAAAAATTCCTTCACGATTTTTCATTGTTTTTTATTTTCTTCATCTTCGCTTAAACTTCTCATTGTTTTATGTCCAAAAAGGATCTATTTGGGTTTTCTTTGGATGTAAAAAATTGTGATTGTATTTGTATTTATGTAATATGAATAGCTTTCTTAGGCTTTTGTGCTGCTTTTTGCAAGCTTGTTGTAGAAATTTTGGCTCATTTTGGGTGGAAAAAGCTAAGCAGCAATGGATTCAGCATTATTTAAGAGATCAGCATGGACAAGCTTCCAATTTTTTTTCAAATCTATGCATAAGCCTGATCCTGACCAACTACCTGCTACACCTCTTCATTACCAAATTGCGTTCCATAATCCCAAAATCAAGATCTCAATTACTTCAAAGCTCATCGCTAGAAAATACTTAACCCTTAAACTTTCGTCTATTTTCTGTAAGCACCGAGCATTATTTTCGTTCATTTTATTAGCTTTCTTACTTACTAACTGACTGACTTACTTCCTCTTCCACCCTCATCTTCTTAATATTATTTTTATTTTTATGGCATTATTATTATTTTTTACTGTTGTTGTTGTTGGATGCGGACATGCACAAGGAATGATGATGGTGGTAAAATGTGAAAAATTGATATAATAAAAAAGGAACAAAAAGAAAGAAATTTTTTTTTGTGCTCTCTCTTCTTTTATTGCATTTTCGAGCAATAAAAATGATTAAATATTTCTGATTTAATAAATTCTTCATTGCTTTTATTACTCTTTCACTCATTTCATTTTGTTTCTTGATGTTCCTTTCGTTTTGATGACCCTTAGGGAAATATTGAGTGTAACTTTTATCATTTTTTATTGAGAATGGCTTCATTAAATATTCATATTGTCAAATAGAGGAGTTTATGGATATTCGGATATCAAATTTTTGAAAGATTGTCTCTTCATTAGGTTTGAGTGTCAGTTCATGGAGGTTTGTAAAGCATTTTATGAATTAAACAAAATAAGCAGAAGTTAATAAGTTTTGAACCTAATCATCAATGCTTCAGCATTGCTAATGTTATATTTGAGTCAATCAAGAGTTTAAGGATGTCCAGAACCTCCCTCTCCCCAAAATTCAAGAATGAATGAAGATAAATCATAGATCGGTGGTATAGCCAGAATATTGAAAATTTTTTGTCCAACCTTTTTTCAGCCACTGCACACTTTGACACTTTGACTTTATATCGACGTATTATCTAGTGTAAAATCTACAAATTTCTGAAAAACTACCTATTTTTGGGATTTTTAATATTTTTCAACCGCACACCTAAGGATGTCCTACGGCACACAGTTTGGACACCACTAGCATAAATTATAGCTCATCTACTCACTTTTTAATACAATAATTTTGTGAAAACAACATAAATAGCACACACCTGGCTGGAAATAAAGTTCAACTAAACTTTAAACAATTTAAATTCAATTTTCATTCCTTTATCCAGTCAATAAAGCATTTACAAAAAATTAAACTCGGAAATAAAAATTTAAAGAAGAGCGTGAAAATGAAAATGAGTGTAAAATTTATGTATGACATGAATAGCAAAGTAAGTAAGTGAATAAGCAAACGAAAAGAAGAGAAAAATGCAGAATGAGAAACATAAAACCGTCAAACGGTTGACAAAATCAAAATTAAATTTCACATTTTTTTCTGTTTGTTTGTCTTTTAAGCTACATTTTCACAAACACAACAGTCGAGAGTGACGAAGTGAGGCGTCGGAGAAATTTATTTCCATAGAAATTGAAAAATTCCAGAATCGAGCAAAAACAGACAGAAAATTTAAATTCACATTTTTATTTATGTTTGTCTGTAAATTGAGTTTAATATCATTTCTGTGTGTTTTATTTACTTTTTGCTTATTTCTTTACCTTTTGTGTTTATTCAGGAGGTAATTTGGAATTTTTTAAACTATAAAGTGCTGTAAAGTTGAAGATTTTATTGACTTTTGGTGAATTTTAAAACTTTAATACTAAAACTAGGACCAGGATGTAGAATCGACTTTATAAAGAATGTTAATTTTAGACAAAATATTGAGGACATGCCATTATGCTGGATTGTCACTTAATTAATCTGTTCACATGAATTAAATGGTACTTTTATGAAGATGAGCCTTATTACTGATCTTATAAATGATACCTAAGTTTCAGAGACCCTTCATCAAATTTAAATGACCTCCAACTCCCCAATCTCCAGTCCCCCTTCAAATCTTAAACCAGAATAGCACCAAATTTTCGCCTCTTACTCAGAAAAAATGCAAAATCAATGTGAATCCCCATCCCCCAAAATAGACACTTTCAAATGTCCATTGATACTCTCAGATAAATTGATACTCCCGCAAAAAATTACAGAATTTAATTTAATTTATTTTGAAGATGTCTGAACGAGGAGACAAAGATGCTTTTAAGCCAAAAAATAATAACAAATGTTTGTAAGGAATTTATTGAGGGGTGAAAAATTAAAAGAAATGGAGAGCAAACAAGGCCACAATGAGCATCGGTAAGTGAATGTCTGAACAGCGGCATTCATAAACACGCGCGAAGACTTAAATATCACTTTGTTTTCCAGTTTTCAATTTTACTTTTCTGAATTGTCAGATTTTATTTAAATGAGATTTTTTGAATATTATTTGATGGACGGAATTCAGAGATTTTTGGAATTTGCAGGTTTTTAAGGAGGTTAGAGATTTATTTTACAGTTAAGGTATGAAAAAATGAATTAAAATTCTGAAAAATCTTTCAACTGAACTGTCGAGCATTAACCATTTCACATCCGTCAATCCTTAAAATTCAAAACTTTTCTCATTTGTCCAGATTCTGTGATTAATTTATAAAATTATTGCAGTTGCATCGTCACTTACATTCACTCAGCCACAAAACTCAATTTTAGTTTCATCCAACAATACAAAAAAATGCTCGTTTCCCATCAACATCTACATCGTAGAATACAGAACAAAAAAAAACTTTGGCATCAAGTAAATAGTATCACAAAAAAAAATGCTGAAATGTCTCCTCAACATCACAAATGGAACTGTGAAAATTAATTTCAACCAACTCCCCTTCACGCTTTCTATTTTATTGTGGAATTTAATTTCAGCAACAACAACAGCGAAAAACAATGACAGAAGGCAATGAAAAAGTGAATGCGAGATGGAGAGTGAGAAAAGAATTGTTGCTTGTCATTTATCAAAATGAAAAGTTTTATATTATATTGAGAGTAAGTATGGGGATGTGATGTGAAATGCTGGAGAAATATAGCGCAATATTTGAGGATTTATGGATTAAGTAATATTTTGTGGGAGTTTAAATTGAAATTTGAATCATTTTTCTTATTATTTGAATTTTAAAGAATTTTTTAGCATTTTTGGTTTGTTGGCAATTGAAGGAGATTTATAGCAACTTGAAACCTCTTGCTTCTTACTCCAGAAGTCGACAAACTGCAGCACATACCACAAAAGTATGAACTAAAGCAAAAATTTCAACAAAACACGAAAGTAAAAGTGAACGAAAAAAAAATTCAAGATGAAGGATCGAGAACTTTAAGGCTTTATTCCTGTCTACATTAAAAATGACGTTGTAAACCCACAAGCAGACCTTTTTCTTGATTGCAGAACATCAAAGATTCCTTCTTATTTCAAGGATGTTTACTTTATGTTTTTCAACCGTGGATTGTTTGTTGAGATATTTTTAAAATTGAAGGTCCTTTAAAAGTTTTTCATTTTAGGGATGTTTTAAAAGTCTTTCCTCATTCTTATTTCAAAACTTTGAAATTTAAAATTATCCAGCACTAGGTTGAAATGAATGTAATAGAGACAAGGTAGAATTATGAATATTGAATTCGAATGCAAACAAGTAATTGGTACTTCAAGCTTAAGCTTTAATAATAGTTTGGATCAAAATCAAGAAATTATAGTTTATTCAGTATTCAATTTTAGAATCTGTCATTTAAAGCTTAGCTTTCATCCACAAAAGACAAAAACTGAAAAATGAAGATTTCATTTATTTTTCTTCTTATAGCAATTTTAATAAGCTTGCCAACAATCACAGCTTACAACTTTACTGATAAAGCATTGTCAATTAATAATGAAGCTTCAATGTTTATCGGTCGTGTTATTAGAGATTGGAACCGACGGCATTTAGTAACAGTTACTAAAGATGTTGCAATCTTGAACCTAAGCAACGATAGCTTGTTACTTGAATCAGTTCTTAGGTCAATTCCTAGGAAGAATCTAGTACTTCTACCAGAACGCAATTGTCTTGATAAGAAAAAATATAGTAAAAGTCGGGAAAGTGATTTTTTAATTATCATCATTGGAAATCAAAGTCAGGTGAGCAGCTATTAGGTGTTTGGCTATTATTTGACGCGAAATCAGACGGAAGCTATGCTAATGACTTTATATAATTACATTATTTTTTACAGTCCCAAATTACAAATGGAATCTATGGATGCATCGATACTCCATTTTGGTCATCAACAAGCAACGTTGTATTTTTAACAACAAAAAAAGATCAATCAAACATTACCAAAACTTATATTTTCAGCATCGCTGTAAGAACACGATCAATAAACAGCGTGATAGTCAGCATAAATGACAACAAAATTGACAAGATAATCAAATGCAATATTTTTCATAACACTATGGAAGTTTTGAATCTCACACATAACACAGATGTGCTTTTTGACGACAAACTTCGAGATATGGATGGATACTCATACTCAACAATCATAATTTCAAATCACGAACGTCTTGATCGGCTACAAAGTAGTACTCAAAAATTAAAAAATCGACTAATTCAGACAATTGCTAGCACACAAAATGCAAAACTAAAGATCACTGAGCAACTTGCTACAGCTGATAACTTATCCGGAATACACAAAAATCTCAGTCAAGGAATAGTTGATATGCTACTCAATTTAGGATATCCAAATGGATTCAAAAATGTAATACAGAACTTTAAGTCAGTCAACATATACGAAACTGATGGATACTGTGCTTTAATATCTATTCCACCAAAGTTACCATTCATAATGTTAACTATCGGAATTTTTGATAAATACACTCGATTACTTCTCATTGGATTTGTTCTACTTGGAGCATTAATTTGGAGAATCTTTGCAGTTAAAAGTAAAAACAAGACTGAATCAGCTGTAAATTTTAGCATCAAAGTTGTTTGCATATTCTTCGGTCATTTTAGTCCATTTCGTAAGAATCGCCTTATATTAAGGATCATGCTGCAATGTTATGCCTTTTCTTTTATGATAATTGGCAACGTATATGAAAGTTGCATGTTTTCAATTCTAATGGATCAAGGAAGATATACAAAGATTACTAATATTGAGGATATAACCAATGGAGATTACCAGATTAATATTCTCAAAGAATCAGATTATATCTGGCAACTTAATAAAACACTTCAAGACAAAACGTTGGATAGGCCATTAATAGATATTGACTTATACAATAAGCTGATAAATCATGAATATAATATAATAAAAGACTTGATGCAACTTCAAATTGATCCGACTACAAAGGTTGAGGACATCTACTACCAGCTATCAAAGAAGCTGTTAGTTTATTATGATAATTTTCTGCTTTCAAGAAGAAGTCCATTTTTGGACAAGCTTAGTCAGATTTCACTTAAAATTCACGAGTCTGGAATTAAACAACATTGGAAAATGCTAATGGAAGAAAGCAAAAGTACACAAAAGGATGACATTGAAGATGAAAATGTTTTAACAATGAACCAAGTCCTTGGAGCATTTAAGATTTACTTTATTGTGCTTGGTTTGGCTTTAGCGACTTTTGTAATGGAAATTTTATGGTTTCATGTCATGAATTGTTGGCATTGGATCATCAGGAAATTTCGACAAGAGTCGAAAAGTGAAAATTCTAGAAGAGTTGATAAGCCGAAGGTTAAAATGATTATGGTTCAACCAAAATTAGAAGAAGATATTATTTAATTAGTCTAGGAAGATATGAAAACATTCGAAAGGTTTTGCCTTAATATTTAAACATAAATCAGTCAAATATTATTAGTCGCAGAATTAATGCTTATCTTTTTTGAGCCACTTTGCACTACATCATAATATAAATGCAGTATTATCGCACATAAATTGATACCTATTGACATCCATTGATATTTACAACTGATATCCAAACATCCATCATCATCATCGTCGTTGTCAATTTTCTACATTATGTCAATATCATAATGTACAATCTGCATATGATTTGATGTAATTTTAGTATCGATAAATTTTGTAATAAATTTTCATAGTCATAAATTGGCGCTTTTATGAGATATTTAACCTTACTATATTGCTGTTGAAAATCATATGCTTTACATAATTTCATAAATATCGATCGCAGTTATGATTGAAAATTGTCATTAAATTGCATTACATTAATAATGAATGTTTTGATCACTAGAAAGATAATATTACAGCTTTACATATTTGAATAGTTATTGTGACTAGGTTTTTGTTATAGATTTCGTTTAATGAATCTCCTTCATGATTGCAAATAAAAATGCAAAATGATTACAATTGTGATATAAAAAGAAAATGCAATTAAGATTCTCTTTTTTTCCAATCAAACAAATTCAGTTATCGACAATTATCTTTTATTCTATAGACTTTAATCCTTTGAACTAGTTTTAATGACAATATCAAGCGATTTGCAATCAAATTTGCAATAAAAGAATGTAAGATTTGTTAAAATTGAACATTTAATTGCAGTTTTTCTAGGTTAAAACATTTGCTTTTGTACACACAATAGGTAAACGATTCTTAATTTCAAATTTGCTAGTAATTGATTCGAGTTATCGGACTGGATAGCTCTGAAACTTAATATTCGATAAATTTTCGCGTTATTTTTTTAAAATTTCAAAATAAGAAAGTCCGTTACTTTTTATTTTTTTTAAACTAGCTGTTTTTTAAAGCGTTAACATTTAAAAAATGCAATTTCATTACAGTGATTATCTTAATCATAAAAACTAGTAGGAATGTTCACTAAAATTACAAATTACTCGAAAAATAATAATTCACAACGAATTTTTTTAAAAATAAGAACTTCGTAGATTCGATTTTCGAAAAATAAGAACCTCAAAATTTCGAAGTTCGAATAATAAGAATTCAAAAATTTCTGTTTGCTAGCATTGGAAATATACTTAAGAGAACAGGAGAAGAGCCAGTTTGATGAAATCCTAGCTTGGCCTCATGCTCATTTATTCTACTTCAACAAAGAAATCACTATCGTCGCCAAAAACTAAACAATTAATCAAAATTAACTCATTCAATTCAGAGGTAGAAAGTTTAAACGTTGGTGAAGACTTTGTAGCAGTTCTCAGAAGGTATAAGCACTAACTGCAATAATAATAATAATAATAACGATTTTGCAAACTTCAGAAAAAGCGGATAGAAAAAAATTTAATTAAATTAATTGCAAACAGAAAAGGAGCAGTACTTTGTGGCATAGAAAAAAAAAGTGGAGTAAAAACATTCACAAAATGCACAGGAGCAGAACAGGATAAAAAGTGCATATTGTAATCAACTTAAAATCTTGTTTTTGTGTGCAGAAAGGCATTTCATAGAAGGTAGATGAAATTAAAAGAAATATTTGCGATAACATGATTAAATGCTATTATGGGAATATAGGGAAGCATGGAATTACAAAGGTAGAGGATAAATTTTATTATCCTATGTGCATGTGGAATTAAAAATTATGTTTACGTGGTTTTTGCATGGAAGGAATTAGATTTGATATGTCTGGGTTACGTAAGTTGAAGCTTAACGCTATTCGACCAATTTCAGCTTCCAACGGACCACCAATAAACAAACGTTAAAGCTGAATATTTTGAGTGCACATCCTACATCCTCAAAAAACTCATTGAAGCATGAAAAAGAGTAATTACCATAATTCAGTTTCCATTGTGATGCTCTTTTCATCATTTTATTATAACTTTGTAGGAAACATGACATGAGATGAATTTTTTTATTCTGCTAAAATGAAGCACTTCCACCCGTCCTCGTAAGTTTAAGTTGTGAAAAAATATGACTTTTGGAATTTTGCCCAGATTTTTACATTGTTTGCATATTTTTTTATTATTATTGAGGAGTAGTTTTCCGTCTACAGAAATAATATTCATAATTTTTTGATGATTCTCATAATTCAGCTACGGCAAAGTAGGATGAAAAATCAATAGATTCCTTGTTAACATCATCATTATTATCAATGTTTGGTGAAATTTTTAAGTAGATGCTTCAGATTTTTTTTCTCATCGTGAAATAAATTTTTGCTGTAAAAACACAAAAGTTTTATTATGTTGACTTACAAAATTGTGAATTCAAGGAAGGATGAAAGTTGTTTGAACAATTAAAAGTTTTTAAGTTCCTGAATGATTTTATGGGTATTTAAGTTTTATTCTTGAGCATTTTTTCGGTGCTCATTTTACATTGAAAATGTGATGGCTGGAGTTGTTGATGATTTTGAGGTTTAAGGCTTCATCTGACTTAAATGTCTGAGACAATGGCAATGCTAGGACAGAAGCACACGTTTTTTACACCACCCTTGGTTGGAGTCTGCAAAGGAAAAGATGTCCAGAAACTCCAAAAGCTACTTGGCGAAGAACAGTGATGAAAGAATGTCAGATTAATGTGCGGACAGAGAAATTGTACAAACTAGGTGACAGAGCCAGCAACAGAGTTAGATAGATGAGCTTTGATTGTAACCTAAGCTACATTTAGGAATAGAGTAACAGTAAGTAAGTAAGTACCCCTTTGACTATTCATATAGACCTTTAGCAGACCTCTAACCTAATATTGCAAATTATGGAATTATGTACTCAAGAACTCGCCCACTGATCTATATAATTCAGCACAATTTGCACTTTATCACTCAAAAAAATTATTTCCTCTTTATTTTATTTATTCAAACTTTTTTTTTATGCTTCTTATTTCTTTTTCAACCAGTTTGCTTTTAAAAAGAAAAGTTTTTCCTCCTTTTTTTTTAAATAAAACAGGAAGAATAAATATGAAAAGTTTTGAAAGAGAACAAAAAAAAAAGAAGTTTTAGGAAATACTTAAGATCGCGTATAATCATTCCGACAAACATTTGAGAAGGTTTCTTATTTTAAAATTCATAAAATTCGCAGTTTCTTTTATGTTTTCTGATCTTGATGTTGATTATTGTTCGTTAAGAAATAAAATGAAATTAAAATGAATTAATGAAAAGAAATGCAAGCAAAAAAGAGTGGGAATTGATCCAATAAACACTTGTTTTGGTGCTTTTTTGAGCTGTTGTTTATTCATTTAGTGAAAAATGCAGGTTAAAATGTTAAACTTAGAAAAACAAATTAATTTGAAAGTAGACTTAGAATTGCTAGGTCTTTATTTTCTTTATAATTGAATTCGAGGTATCGATGAATATGTAGAGAATCCTACTTGACCAAAAGCAAGCAGCATGCAACTTCATGTCAGATTATTTTCCTTTGCTGTTCAAACAATTGTTCCTTGATTGTTTCCAAGAATATTTTCACAATTACTGCAAAGGATGAATGACAATAAGGATGTTAAATGTCAGCAGAGATGCTTTATGATATTAAGAACTAGTGACACAACAAAAGAGTTAAACTGAATTATATTTAAGCTGTCTACATCAATAAATTCAATTTTACCTGTCAATTTTAAATTTATACTACTTAAAGTTGCAAAAAAAGTATACTCATGGCTTCCCAAAAGTCTCATCCAACATCCCATGAACCCAAGATTCATCTGACACATTCGCTCATTTACAAGATAGTTTCAGCACTCAGTTTTTATCTTAAATACAGAAAGGAAGAAGCTGTACAAGATGGAATATAAGTAAAAACCGGATAATTAATCATTCTACAAAGTACGGAACAAGATGGAGAAAAAGTTTTAAAAATCAAAATCTTTAGTTAATTGACTTTATGAGTTTCTCTTTACCAGCACTTCATTTATTCAAGATAAATCTTTCCTCTTATATTTACTCACTTCCTTAAGTTCGTTCTCATTTTTTTTGCTTTTAAAGGATGATGAAGTTCAGAAGGTAAGAAGATTTAGCTTTCATTGAACTTTCTCTTCCTTCTTTTTTCATGCAAGGATAAGCTTTTTCTTCTTTACTGCAATTTTTTCTTACTTAAAGTTCTTATTGAAGTTTTCATGTTGGCTGATGTAGATGATAATTCTATAATGAAGAATTGTTAATTATAGTCAACTTAAATCCTCTTTAAATGTGAAAGCAATTCGGTAAATTGAAAATTCTTTAGATTGCATCAATCTTCAATAAAAATTTCATATTTGTATCACTTTAGTGCTGCTTGTGTTCATTTAAAATGAAATTTACATTCCTTACATATTTAAATGAAGAAAAGCTTTTCAGACAATTTATTTATTTTCTGATTGATTCAATTCCATTGAAACATTTGCTTCTAAATTCAAAATAACTGAAAGAAGCATAAACATGTAACATAAGAAAATTTGGGAATGTAAATGCTCAGATGTGTGACACATATGCATGAAAATTTATTTCCTAAAACTGCTGATGGAAAAAGTTGTTGAAAAAAATAAAATGTTGTCTGTATGTTAATGGATTGAATATAAAGGAAATGTTTGAGGATATTTGAGAAATATTCTTAGATGCTGAAGAGATTTTAAAGATTTTAAATATTTGTTGGGTTAATGATTGAGATTTGTGTTCAGTTGAAGGGGATTCTGAGGCTGCTTCATTAAAACTTTACAACAAAGAACCATTTGCCCGTCAAATCTTGGATTACTTAACTTTATCCCACTTCCAGCATTCAAAAAGTCATTCACAAAAAGAAACAATTTCATGATTTTTAACAGTAAATATGTTGACATCAATCGATAAATTGAAATCTCAATCGCTTGTATTTACCAACAATTTTCATCCAACATTCTATCCTCAAAAAAATTCATCGAATAATCATCCAACTAAAATGCGAAAATCTACAATCATCAATGAAGAGAACTAGAGCATCATTGGATTGACTTTAAGAGGTGTAAAATTAAATATTAGTCAATAAATCAAGCAATTGCTGCTTCAGTTTACACTCGAATGGAAAAATTGAGTGAAAATTTGTTGATTTGATCGAGAAAAAAAAAATTTCTCTTGTGAAGCGAAAATCGAGGATTTTTTTTAAAGAAGGAAAAAAATCTTCTCATTTTGATGCTTCGACAAACATCGAAATTTTCAAGATGATTGCACATTTTGAATGGAGGAATGAGAGGAAATCTGAAGATATGAAATTGCTTCTGTGTGTGCCTATTTATATTTCGAATATTATTGGGAATGTGTACTTTTGGAATCAAAATCATATTTTATGAAATTACGTTAGGAAATATAATTTGTTCAGGAGATGGAAACTTTAGCGATTTTTTAAGAATTTGGAATTGATTGACAGTCATTCGTAGCCTCGATTTACAGTGTATTTACTTCTTATACGAGAAATTTTGATCCCTGCCTCACGCCTACCTAATGTGTTTAACATTGATTTAACAAAGTTACTGACTGAGTTATAGTCAATTCTTTAGAGACTCTTGGCTCAATCTTGAAAACTAAGAACGTAAAAGGTTAAATGAAATTCGTCAATCTTTAAAGCTTATGATTTCCAATAGCCAGAACTCCTCTTAGCTATAAAACTCTTTGTACCCAGTATCACAACAAGGACATGCCTTGAAAAATTCAAAAAAAAATTCCTAACCTCAAAATCACCTAAATCGGCACCACATCAAGCAATCTGTTCCCATACCTTGAATCAAATATTTTCTCTCATTTTATTTGAAAATCATTTCGCAATGCTTTGTGTTGCCAAACAATAACAGACATTCTAGCAAATAAATAAATGAATAGGAAGGAAAGATAAAGGCAAGAGACAGTAAGAGATGACATTTCAAAAGAATGCATGTAGAGAATTGCTAGCTGGAGAATAAAAGACGTACAACAGTCATAAGAATGCAGACATACATCCAAGAATTTCAGGAATTTATGCTTTATGTACCTAAATAATTTTCGTGATGGCATCTGCACATTCTGAAATGACTTTTCTCCTTCCTATTGCACAATTTTTCCTCTCCCTTCTATGCTCGTTCATTCTTATGGCATGTTTCTATATATTGTGACAGATTGAGTGGATTTTTTTTTTCCTTTTTTATGCTGGTGCTGTTGTTGATGCTCATCTCCTGATTTTATGAAATGAAAATTCCTATTCATTAGACTTTCAGTGCTTGTCTTTTTTGTGGTATGTTCCCGAGCGTCATATAGGCTCTTTTTCGAGGACATATAATTGAGCTTTCTTTGCCTACATTGTGTTAGTCGGTATATCCACTTTTACGTATTTTTTGCGTTCTTCTTATTTTATTTATAAAATTTTGGAGACTTCATGTTGAGAAACATCACAGAAATGCTTCCTTTGAGAAAGATAAGAGAGGGAAGGCAAGTAACGTAGGCATGGTATTACGTGGATTTAGGAGTGTTCTTAGGACTTGATGATTTAGCTCATTGGAGCATTTGTTTTGTGACTTGCGGTAACTCTTTGACATTTATTTGTGACTTCAAGGTCTTGTCTTTTGAACTTTTAAATCATTGTAACTGAAAGAAGTTACTAGCTTCCTCTAGAATTCATCAAGACACCAAGACAAACTCAGCACAACAACTTTAGATACACAAAAATATTTTACTTTTTCCACAAAACTGCCACAAAAGACAAAAAGCATCGAAACAGAAAAGGAAGAATTTTTTTTTGAGGGGTTGTAAAGTGGAAAAGCCGGGGCAATAAATCTAAAGATTTGTCTGTGATTACAAGAATTTTCTATTTACTTTTTTTTCTTTTATTTTTTCCTGCTCTCAACGCGCGCCCCTAATTCCTTTTTAAATTATAAACACATACATTTTTTTTATACGCAACAATGTGGAGCATAAATTATGGGAGCTTTGAAATGGGGTGTTGTGGATGGAAATTGTTATGATGGAGATTTTTGGTTTGGTTCGAGCGAATTTGAACATTGTGAAGCATTTTGCTAGGTTAGCCTTGAATCATAGGGTCCAAAGCTCATGCAATCCATGTAGAAGCTCTACCGTTTGTACGCTGGGTCCATAAATCTACCAAGTGATAGGATTCATAAGTCAATGACCCTAATAATAATAATAATGTGTGAAGGGTCCTGCCTTTCAGCTGAAGGCACTGCGTTTCAATTTGTAAAGAATCTGTTGAACCATATCCTTTAGACCCACAGTTTATAATAGGATCCGAACCACTTGCAATGGTTCGATGTCAATGACCCTTATAATGCTTGAATATAAAGCTGAAACCATTTCATTGTAAACAGGAATCAACAATCTGATCTAAAGTTCAATAAACTTGCGGTTCTCAACTCTCTTATGATTAATTCAAATTAATTAGTTGACACCTGATTACAGTTGAAGCATGACAAACTGTGTCTCATTTGACACTAAAGTAAATCAATGTTAAAGTACATCCAGTGGAGGCAAACCATTTTCGCTCAAAATTCTTCAATCCTAAGAAAAAAATTCCTTTCTTATTTTTTTTCGTTATCCTATTCTTTTCCACACATGGATTTGCTGATAAACATAAATTTTTATTACCAAACATATAATACATTTTGGCATTTCATCACCCACATATACACACATTCATAAACCATCGCAGCGCTACTGCTTTTCATTCGCCCTTTAATTTTAATTCATTTAACTTAACAACAACTGCTAACACATCAGTTGCTGCTGCCATACATTTGTTATCAAAGTGCGAAAGACCTCAATATTTTAGCACACCATTCATTCATCCATTTCGCTCGTTCATTTATTCATTCATCCCTCATTTATATCGTTCAGTTTTTCTCCTTTTTGGTGGTGAATGATGCTGGAAATTATGGGAAGTAGGGAAGTTTTGGGTGGTTTGTCTAGGATGATCTTGATTATGAAAGTTATTTGGATTGACAATTGCAATGGGATGCATTTAGAAGCTAGTGATAACTTCGTTTGGTTCTTGATAGTTGGAGCCTCTACTTACTCTTAATAATCTTTGAGAAAATCCTATAAGCTGCATTACCAGGGCATGTGATGACGAAATCAACAACTTTCTATACTGAGCCTTAAACACTTGATTATTGTGTTATTGAATTTGCAAGATTTAACCAGAGATTGCCAACATTCATTTAACAAAAGCCACTGACAACCGATTGCAGTTGACCATCAAAGTACTAGTTGTATTGCTCTAATGATCCACACCAGCTAAAATAATCTACTTCAGCTTAAATATCTAATAATTAGCAAAAATGCGTCCATATCCTTCACGAACCACAGCCATCCTAATACTTGTTGCTACTTTTTGTTCTTTGGTTATGAAAGATTTTTTTTCCCTCCTTTCTCACTAAATGAAAAATTTAATTTTTCTTGTGTTTAACGCCAGCATCAAGTATGACGGTGTGAATAAAGTAGGAAAAAAAATATTTCATTCCCTCCTTCAACATTCGCTCAGCACATTTTAAGACATACCATGCTACAGCTATGGTTTTTGGTTGGTTTGTAACACGATGATTAATGAAGGGTAAAATTAGCTTCAGAACGATTCATTAGCACTAAAGCGAAGCGATTTTTTTTTCTCTCTCTTTTGCCACTTTTTGCTTTCTTTTATTTTTGCATTGCACTTTTTTTTTTGCTTTTAATACTTTAATCGTTTGTAATTTTCATCTAATGAAGGTTTTGCAGGAAGTTTTCGTATTTTCAACTTTGAAAAATGTAGCTCCTTTCAAGAAATGGGACCAAAAATCCAGCTTTATTGCGTTACGTTATTAGTGAACGGCTCTATATTCAATAATATATATTCAGAGTACTCAATCTTCAATTGCCTTTAAATAGAGAAAAGTGAGAGCAAAATTACTCCAGATTTTAATATACGTCTTTAATCTGGTTTTACCCGTAGTACTGATAAAGCTTGTATTTCTTTACAAAACTTGATTGAGTCATTATTAATTTTTTTTTTGAAATTCTCACGGGATTCACGAGTTTGTTTTCATTGTAAGTTGTACACACGAGCAATAAAGTACTACTTAAAAAACTTTAATTATTTAATTAAGGACGTTGCGTTTTGTTTTAACTATACAAGGTCATTAGATGTGAATGTCAGTGCTTTTTGTGACATATTTAAAAAATAACAAACTTAAAAATTGTAAAAAAAAAACTTTATCAAGGTTTGTTGTTGTAAAGGCGATAAGAACATATTGTTATTAAAAAATTTGTGTGCGTCTTACTAATTGTGTTCAAATCACACAAACAAACAAGAAACCTAAAAAAGTATTGATTTTAAGAAGAAGCATCAACCCCTCCTAGAGTCAAAAAACTGTCAATCACAATATTCAGAAATTCCAAAATATAATACAAAATCTTCAAACTCAAAACTAGTTTTTCAATTAAAATAAAATGTTTAGAATAAACACATTCGCGCTTACGCTCTCTATCTCATCAATATTACTCATTAATGGACAGCGAATAGAATACTTGAATGGACTACTTGAAGATCAACTTTGTACTTTAGACAGTGGATCATATGGAAGATGTAGAAAAATTTCAGACTGTGCAGCAGACTTTGAAATTCACAGGAGAGACAAAACAGTTCTTAAAGTCTGTAGTTTTGCTAGTCATGCTCAAAGTCACGTGATTTGTTGTTCACAGCATTTAGATTCAAATAGTCAACTTTCAATCGGAGAACAGACTACAAAGTTATATTCAACTATGAGACCTTCGTTGATTACAAGAACAGATCAAACAACAACTAGAACAGATCGAACAACAACGTTCATAGATCGAACTACACAAAGAATTGTTCGAACAACAACAAGGCCAATCCGAACAACAACAACAGAAAGAACAACAGCCAAAATTTATCGAACAACACCGAGAATAATTCAAACAACAACAGGACCATATTTGAATTTCAGAGAAGATCAAGATGAAGTTTTTGATATTAAAAATGATCCGAATCGTTATGAAATATCGACCACAGAACAAATAAATAAAAATATTGATTTAATAGACTTCGATAGCTGTCAAGATGAGCTATTAAAATACAGAATTCAATGGATAAATACAAATCATTTTGGAAAGGCTATGGCTGATAAAATTATTCCTCTAAACAAAGAAAATTGTGATTTTTTAACAGAACTGAATCAGCAATCAGGTACTGTGTCAGTTGAATCTTAGAATCTTTGACGAGTTGCATCATCCAAAAAATTTATATTTTAGGAACAACCACACAAAATTTCTATTCATGTCGTCTAGCGCGAGGAAGATACTTCATTATAAACAACTCAAAAAGACGACCAGAAGTACCAAAAGTCAGGGAAGGATTTCGTCCTAATATGGCAGCGATTGGATGGACAGACAAAATTGGAGGAATTACTTATAGATGCTTTGGATCGATAGTTACAGAAAAGTTTATAGTTACTGCTGCACATTGTCAGGATTTTGATGAGTAAGTTGACCTCTTTATGATAAAAAAATTATGTCTTAAATAAGGTTGTGGACCAGATATGAATAGATTATGGACAAAAACAGCTACCTAGGCTTGTGATTCTGTTTTTTACCTGATCATATCAGTGGTAAACAAGTCGTAGAAGCACTATGGATACTCAGATATAGACATATAGTTGACAAAGCATAAAAAAAAAATCTCACAAATCCAATTCCTCCTCTTTAGCTTACGCCCAAATACAGTTCGAGTCGGTGATCGTTATTTAATGAGCAGAAAAGACGACGAAAATGCACAGCAACTTAAAATTCAAGAATTTACTGTGCATACAAATTATAAACCAACTTTAGACTATAATGACATTGCAATGATTGAAACAGTTGAAAGGATAGTCTTCAATAACTTTGTGGTTCCATCATGCATTGGAAATCTTTATAACTCTAATGAAAATGAAAATACTGTCTCAGGATATGGAGATGAAGTAAGTTTAATAATTTTAGATTTTAAAAATTATTCTGGAAATCTTTTTATTATTAAGGATGATGGAAGCTTAATGAATGTCTTAATGGAGATGAACGTGGAAGTAATTGATAACAGTGAGTGTAATAAAGTTTATGGAAAAGATCAGCAACTTCCTTGGGGTATTATTGACAGTCAAATATGTGTCAGAAGTAAAGCAACAAGAAAAGAAATCAACGAAACTTGGTGAGTTTTTAAGTCCACAAACTTCGTCACTAAGGTGATCAAAGTGAACCCTTAAAGCTAATTTTGGAATTTTTAACCATTTGAACTAATTGAATCTTAATTTTTTTCTAGTTTTGGTGAGTCAGGAAGTCCGCTGCAGTTCAAAAGCAGTCATGACATAAAAGAAGACGATTATGGATCAGACTATATATCAACAACGTATGAGACATCCACAATTATAGGAATTCAATCATTTTCAACTAGTTGTGCATTTGATATTCCTTCTGTATACACAAGACTTGAATCTTACACAGACTGGATGAGATCTGTAATAGAAAAATCAATTTGATGTTGTTGGAAGTTAAAATTTCTTTATTTATTAAAATAAAATTTTTAAATTATTATTTTGTTTATATTGTGTCACAGAAATTCTTTATTATTTGACGTCACTAGTAAATCATCACGTTAATTTCTTGTAATTTACGATTTCAGTCGAATGTTTTATTATAAATCAAAGTTAAATTGGTGTCAAAAAAGACTTCAATTTGGTAAGTTGAGAGTAGAATTCAAAGTCAATTAACTCTAGTTAATTCAGATGGATATGACTCGATTTCAAAATGAACTGACTCTAAAAATATTAATTTTCTACAAAATTACAGTAATGGCGATTCTGGAAGTCCGCTACAATCAATTCTTGAAGTCGAAGTTAAGGATGACAATTTCAACACAACTTTCTTATCAACAATTTATCAAACAATAATAAATGTTAATAGAATTCGATAATTACAAGAAGTTGGAACGAAAGCTTGAATGTTTTAATTGTTAAAATCTTGTTTGATGCATTTGCATTAACAACCTCTTCCAGGGGTGAGATATCTTTGAAAATTAAATAAAGACAAGATAAACGTTATTAAAAGTATCCATGCTTAAACAATCCAAAGATGTTTCAGAGACACCAATATCTTCAAGATTTAACTTTAAAAACACAGAATTCAAGTTTATTTTCACCACTACATGACATTTTCATATGAATACACAATGTGTTTGGTTTTTGTTTTTATACTTAAAAGACACCAATGTCAGTCTTAAGTTAACTTTTGTAAAGAAACATCATTACTGCTAAGTGTTTCGCAAAAAATAATAATAAATCATTCTTATTTTGTCTACTTTACACAACATAATTAGTGTAGTTCAGTAATAATCAGTTTAATAAGTTGCATCTTTTACAATCTATGCTATATATATACAGAAATAATAAAAGCATGAGTCACAGATTTATTTTTATATTTCTTACAATATTGACATTTAAAGCAAATGCTCAGCACATCTTATACTTGAATGGTTTATACGAAAATTCAAGTTGTGAAGTAGACACCGGCATTTATGGAAGATGCCGCAAAATGTCAGACTGTATGACCGAATTCGAAAGTTATAAAAACAATCAAACAGTTTTAAAAATTTGTAGCTACGAAAAAAATCCTTCAAATACTTTGATTTGCTGTCATGATGATTTAGAACTTGAAATTCCGGAAGAAATTAATATTTTTGAAGAATCCGACACGCATGATGATCAAGAATCAGTGACAATGAATCCAAAGAAGAGATCAGAAATTATAGATTTCTCAACTTGTCGACAAAGATTTTTGAGATTTCGAAAGCAAGCTATTAATATTGCACATTTCGAAGATGCTTTTTGGACTGGAAAGATTCCACAGACTGAAGAAAATTGTATACGAATTAATAATCTCAACAGAAAGTTTAGCTGTAAGTTGAGCTTCTTTAAAAATAAAGATGATTAAGAAAATAACGATCTTTTGTAGCTAAGAACTTTTGGGATGGAGCTTGGTATGGCTGTGCTTACGAAAGCGACGAATTCAAGAGAACCAAGACTGTTCCTCATTTTTCAAAACCAAGTGTTATTCATAAAGCTTTTAGACCGAATTTAGCAACAATCGGTATAAGACAGCCTAATGGCAATGTTATGAGAACATGTGAAGGCTCGATCCTTAGTCCACGGTTTATAGTGACAGCAGCACGTTGCGAGTATCATGCTGGGTAATTTAAAAGTTTGATATTTTTTAAGAAAATTCTTTCCAAGGCGTGGAAACTCAGGATTAATCCTGAAAAATCCCAAAAATCCTAAAAAATCCCTGAGCCAATAAACATGGAAATGTGAAATCCCTTTTAAATCCCTGATGCATTTGATGAATAACTTCGGGATTTAAAAGGGATTTAACATTTCCATGTGTATTGGCTCAAGAATTTTGTAGGATTTTTGGGATTTTTCGGGATTAATCCTGAGTTTCCACGCCCTGCCTTTTTCTGAAGCTTATTTCTAGGGCTCTAGCTTTCTACTTTAGTGACAGTCATTGATTGTCATTTCAATGGCAGGTTGCTCTAGAAACCTATTTCTGGATTTATTTTAATAATAAATTCTATTTAAAGCAAGAAAGTTGACTTTGTCAGAATAGGAACTAAGCATGCAGGACCTAAAAACAATGTAAACTATGAACAACAAACAAAAATTCGAAAATTCATCGTACATCCAGATTATATACCTTCTGTGGCCTACAACGATATTGCAATCATTAAAACAGCTGAGAAAATAAACTTTAATAAGTTTGTTGTGCCTTCATGTATTGCAGACGTTGATGCAGAAAGGATTGGAATTGATAATGATTGGACAGTAGGAGGATATGGAAATGTAAGTTTTTAAACATTTTTCACACCCCAGGAACTCAATTTTAGCTTTACAATAATGAGTGAGAAACTCTTAACTCAATTTGAGTCATCTTACTTCTTCCTATCAATTGTCTTTTAAGAGTAAGCTTGAAATTAAATTTAATTGATATTAAAACATTTGATTTTAGTCAGAAGACGGATTAAAGGCTAATGTCAAGCTAGAATTGAAAGTAGACATGATATCAAATGATGAATGTAGTAAAAGCTATTCTGGTTCAGAAGCCATGCCTAATGGAGTAATTGGAAGTCTGTTGTGTGCTATAAGTCCAAAAGAAAGCAACGAGGAACTTCTTAAGCATCCAAATGCATGGTAAGCTGTCTTTAGTTCTTTTCAATGATCTGAAATTGATCGAAAAATAAGATGACATGCATTTAACAGCATTTAATTTGAAAAAAACATTTATTCACAGTTTTGGCGATGTAGGAAGTCCCTTACAATACAATTCAGCATACGAAGTGTTTCCCAAAAATTACTCCATCAATTTTTTATCAAAATACTTTCTAACCTCAAATATTGTAGGAATTGGTAATGCAAGAATCAATTGTGGACTTGAAACACCTTTTGTATTCACGAAAATCGCCTCCTTTGTACCGTGGATAAAATCTGTTATTGAGAGTCATTAAGAGTGACTAGCGCCATCTGATGAAAATAAAATTCCTATAAAGTTTTTTAAATTTTAATAAACCGTTATTTGAACTGCAAATTTCTCAAAATCCTAGATGCTATAATTGCTTTCCTATAAAATTATTCAAAAAACTAACCATAAAGGAGATCTGAAAGGTGTTCAATAAGAAAACAATTTTCAATAGAATTGTCTTAAAGTGTCCCACAGGGAATTGTTGTGTCAACATACATTGTGACTTCTTATTTTACTTTCAATCAAATATCGTTCAATGTGGCCACATATAGTGGAATTCTGGGACATTTTTCTTCAACAATTGGATGTAAGACAATAAAAATTGTTGAATAATAGCCTCATAGAGATATAGACATTCTCTGTTTGGCTTTGTGTTGACATTTCAAATTTTTACAGCACGAGAGAATCTTTTTGTCTCAATTTCCAATGTATTTATACCCAAAAAAAAAATAAAAAAATCAGTTCCATTCAATAGAAATCTTCTCATTATTATTGCAAACAGCAGCAGCAGCATCAGTAAAATGTTTTGTTTGTAAATTGATCACCAGCAATATTTTTAAGACCACACATTTGTAAGCTTCGACTGAAACTGATACAAATAAACAGTTGCTGATGCTCCCACTTTGCCCAGCTTCATCACATTACAAAAATAATAATCATGGAAGTGTCAAATTCATATGGGAACATTTTTCAAGCCCATTACATGCTTAATATTTATGGAAATTGCTTTGAAGATTTAATTTCCTGATAAACAAGTCATAAATGAAATTCAATTAACTAGAATATGATGAAAAACATGAACATAGGCAGGGTTCCAACAAGTCGGATTGATTATACAATTTTTTTATATCATTCCTGACACATCTTTAAGTCTCTTTCTTCATTTACTCGAAATATTGCGACAAAGTATAATTAATAAGCAATCAATAGACACAAGTACTTCACATGATATTAAACCAATAGCGGTCAACTCAAAAAGAAGCTTGTAAAGCTACTGATAATTGAAAAATGAGAATTCCTGATAAATCGAATATATTACAGTCGCTACTAAGTGGTGTGTATTCTGCCGCTAATTGATATCTCATGTTATCAGCTGCTTACTTTAGTTCATTTTTGATGAAACTTCTCTTTTTTTGTGTGCACAAATAATAACATGATTATCAATATCAATACAAGCGTTTATCAATGTTACAGTAATTACTTAAATTAAATTTAGATAAGTGGGTTGTAAAATATTTTTTTTTGAGGTTAAAAATAATTTTCGCAATGACTTGTAGAATTAATCAAGTGGAATCTGGATAATTGAGGTTTTAAGTGGATATTTTTGGTTTATACTTCAAATCGAAAGGTTTTAAGGCAACTTCTCAAAATATAGAATTCACTCTTGAACGTCAATTTAAAACTTTTCCAATAATCCTGAATAATCCCTTTGATATCCATCCCAATTCCAAAGCAACTACGCAACAAAAATGGCAGCACATGCTTATGAATAAATTAATTTCAACACATTCAAGTCCAACTATTATATTAAAGCATATCTTGCATTATTATGAAATTTATTTATTGAACATTAAAATCATTCACAATAGATCGAGTCTGTTAATATTGTTACAACACATTGTTCATGAATGAATGAGTATCATGTGCTGTTGCTTTTAATTCAAGCCTTTAAAAAGGCCATTAAAGCATGTTTGATTAAGTATTGTAAGTATGGCACAAAAAGAGAATTGGGATAATGAGATGACGGGTCAATTGGATGATGAAAGGTCATGAAAAATGTACAAATAGATCTTTTCTAATGGTTTTTGACTCTAGCATGCCTAAAACCCTTATAAGAGTCCGAAAATCCCTCAAATTCCTTAAATCCAAGTTAACGTGATTATTTGTCATAAAACCGTCCACAGAATTTTTTTGTCAGCTCATTTACCGGTCCTTAACCTCTCGACAATAATTTTACATAATTTTATACAAACAAAATAAAACAAAAAAAAAGAGAGGCAATCGGTAACGACATGAAATAATTTCTGACTGCCTATAACTAATAAAGAAATCTCTGCGTTTCAAACAGCAATAAAGACTCTCCTTTATTCAATGCATTTTCATGTAAATCTCACTGTGAATGCATGCGAAACACGAAGACGAAAATTGAGCGCATGTAAATGCGGAATTTTAATCGTCGTTGGGAATTTTTTTTCTCGAGCGAACTAAAGCATTGAATCATTAATTATTAATGACATTGGCATGTCTACCTATGATGCCTCTGAATTTTATTTTTTTGCTGTTGTTGCTATCTCCACTGCTCGCTTAGTTCTCATAAATGTTTACATTAAACTTTGAATTTTTCTTTCCTATTTCGTGATGTGCTTTGGGATCATTTAATTTTATGGCAGGGTTAATCAGCTTGGATATGCTGGTTGATTTTTGATACTGAATATTCAAAAATAAGGTTCAACGATGATTTTAGCGTTCTGAATTATTATGGTATGGTGAAGGAGTGTCACGTGTAGTCCTAGAAGACACCCAATCTAAAATCAATGGCTGGATATGGAATTGGCGAATAAGGCATCACCAGCTTCGGGTATCTTATACTAAGAAATTTTTTATGTGGTTCCTTAAAGTCTTGCTTAATCTTTCTAATCCTAGAAACAGAAATCATCCATACGTCACACAAACATATTAATAGCTATAACACCAAGAAACCTTTCGAAAATCCGTAATATATTTTTTTCTACAATCTACAAAATTTCCATCTTTTCAAGCAACAAGATGACTAAGTCTGATTCGCCTCGATGAAAGCCAATAATTTCCCATCTCTCGTATAAAACAATTTACCCTCGGGCGCAGAAATCACAAAACATGAGACGATAAAAAACGTTCAAAAATGAACAGTACGAAAATAAATCTCTTTGATGTAAAATAATTGGATGCAAATTGACTTTTTGTTCATGGGAGAATGAACAATATTTAAGGAACAAAATTTCTGAACTCATTTCACAACTTCTGCAGAATTTTTATTGCAACATTTTTCAGGCATACGAAATAGAAATAGGATCTTCCATTTATTGCTTAAATGATTGCCTTTCTATGTCGGCATTGAAGGCGTACGACTGAATTGTTATTGCACTTCGTTGCTTCTGCACTTTTTATCCTAGAAAAAGCAGAAAAATTCGTCATAAATTCATAAAAAAAAATTCATTTTTTTACTGTAAAGTACAGATTTTATGCTGCTTTTTGTGCTAGATTTAAAAATTTATGTTGATCGCAATAAAAAAAAATCTTTTTTGCTTCTTTTACAGAAACTGTTTCCACACCCTCGACTTACCAACTTCAGCAGCGGATGAAAAGTTTTCAGTGGGTTGGAAAAACTTTTTTCCTCACCAATACAGTTGCGTGGTTGCCAAGCAACAGTAATTATGATGTCGAACGTATACCGTCCAATCGTATTGAAGCTAGTCATGACTCAAATATTTGCATTGCTATTAAAAATTTTATAGATTTTTCTCGGTCGTTTTTATTGAATTCTGTTGTGACTTAATTAAATTTGCTATAGTTTATGTTGCCAGAGTATAGATTCCTCTCTTGGACTGTTGTTTGTGTATTATAAAGCAGAACTCGATGGGAATTGAACCTGCGTTCTCAAAAAGAGTGATATCTGATGTCTAAATCATGTCCTTGCTACTCAACAACCAAGGAAATTGGCCTTACTTTGGCTGTCCATAAAACATGGACTTCTCTTCATATACTCAGTCCTATCTACTCTAAATATACTCAAACTTCCATTTCTCCCCATCGTTAAGACATTCATACACTGAAAATCTGGCAATTTGTAAACAGAAACAATTCTTGTTACTAGCTTGCCTTCCACGCGACATTATTGAAGTTTCTGCAGCAATAATCGTAAACATAAAAAATTTTATAACAGAAATTTCTCATATTTTGTTCTTTGCATGTGCTGCCCTAGCAGCTCAATTTCTTTCAGATTTTTATGCTTTTATTGAATCCAAAGAAATTTTCATGTTCCTTTTTTTCAATAATAAAGTAATTTAATGAGCCAAGGATACATGCATGTTGCCTGTTGTGCATCATTATTGCTTCTTCTTCTTTCTTTTACAATCTTCTTTCTTTCTCCAAATTGCATTTTGTTTATCCACTTCTTGGGAAAACATTATTAGAAAATTATTCACGTTTATTGTACTTACTGTAAGTACAATTTTTTTCAAGTAAAAGATATTCTTACTTTATTTTTTTGAAGGAGAGAAGATTTTTTTTTTTTGGAATTATCTTTTGGTTCAATGTATTGGCCAAGATCATTAAAATGCCCAGCAGTAAGTCTTTCTGTGTTTTGTTCTTTCTCATTGCTAACATTTTTATGCTTGTTTTGTTACCTTTTTCGTAGCAATTTTATTATTTTGCTTGACAGTTAATGGACATTAATTTTGGGAAGGGAAGGATGAAGGTGTAGTTTAGGTGAACTTAAAGATTAATGAAATTTTCAGATTAGATTTTGTTCGATTTGTCATCCTTATTCAGCTAGGTTTTGCCCCGAATGGTACAAGTTATAATCGATCAGAAATCCGGCACAAAAAAAAGCCGGTATGATCCTAGCATGGTGCTGGATTTAGATCGAACAAAGTACCATGCCAAAATATGCCGACCATACCAACTTGTGCTATTTGGGTAAGTTGCTAGTATTAGCGACTAGTATTAGAGACTAGTATTAGAGTATTAGTGTCAAGTTTGGATTTTAATTCTGTGAATTGATATAGTAAAAAGAAGGAGCAGAGAAACTCCAGCCTTGAATCCTCAAAAATCTGGAATGCTTGGCTAATTCAAGAGACTGCCATCCTAATCCTAAGTGGACGCTTATTCCGCCACAGTACCTATCATTCACAAAAAATCTCATAAAAAATCTACTTCAGTCCACAAATTCTTATCAATGACATTGAAATATTATTCGATAACTTTAATGTATGTCACTGTGTCATTTTTTCAGTCACATCTCAATGTCATGACTGCATTCAAATGAAAAATAACCCATAAATC